TGAAATTTTGAACAGAGTTTCCTTTAAGTGACGAAAGTGAGTACCTAGAAGCTAATTTTGACATTCATCCCTTAGAAATAAGGGATGAAAATTTGTACAAAAGGTTAAAATCGGTTTTAGAAGTATGAATTTTGCAGACGTTCCTTATGTAACGTAATTTAGCATTAAGAAGCAATTTTGGAAATTCGCCCTCTAAGGGTGTGAAATGAGGGTTGAACGTTCTGGAACAATAAATTCTGTTCAAGGAATATGACAATTTGCACAGAGGTTCCTTATGTAGCGTAATTGAATAATTAGAGTGATTTTGGAATTCATTCCTTAAGGGGGTAAAACTAGGGGTGAAAATTATATATTTTTTTATGTAAAATCCATTCTAGGACTAGGAGTATGAAATTCTGTTCAGAGGTCCCTTAAATGATGAAAGTGAGTACCTAGAAGCGAATTTTAGGCATGCATCCCTAAAAAATAAGGGATGAAAATTTGTACAAAAATTTGTTAAAATTGGTTTTAGAAGTATGAATTTTGCAGACGTTCCTTATGTAACGTAATTTAGCACTAAGAAGCAATTTTGGAAATTCGCCCTCTAAGGGTGTGAAATGAGGGGTTGAACGTTCTGGAACAATAAATTCTGTTCAAGGAATATGAGAATTTGCACAGAGGTTCCTTATGTAGCGTAATTGAATAATTAGAGTGATTTTTGGAATTTATTCCTTAAGGGGGTAAAACTAGGGGTGAAAATTTGTATAATTGTTTATGTAAAATTCGTTCTAGGACTAGGAGTATGAAATTCTGTTCAGAGGTCCCTTAAATGATGAAAGTGAGTACCTAGAAGCGAATTTTAGGCATGCATCCCCTGAAAAATAAGGGATGAAAATTTGTACAAAAATTTGTTAAAATCGGTTGTAGAAGTATGAATTTTGCAGACGTTCCTTATGTAACGTAATTTAGCACTAAGAAGCAATTTTTGGAAATTCGCCCTCTAAGGGTGTGAAATGAGGGTTGAACGTTCTGGAACAATAAATTCTGTTCAAGGAATATGAGAATTTGCACAGAGGTTCCTTATGTAGCGTAATTGAATAATTAGAGTGATTTTTGGAATTCATTCCTTAAGGGGTAAAACTAGGGGTGAAAATTTGTATAATTTTTATGTAAAATCCGTTCTAGGACTAGGAGTATGAAATTCTGTTCAGAGGTCCCTTAAATGATGAAAGTGAGTACCTAGAAGCGAATTTTAGGCATGCATTCCCTAAAAAATAAGGGATGAAAATTTGTACAAAAATTTGTTAAAATCGGTTGTAGAAGTATGAATTTTGCAGACGTTCCTTATGTAACGTAATTTAGCACTAAGAAGCAATTTTTGGAAATTCGCCCTCTAAGGGTGTGAAATGAAGGGTTGAACGTTCTGGAACAATAAATTCTGTTCAAGGAATATGATGATGATTATATATATTGATGATTTGCACAGAGGTTTATTATGTAGCGTAATTGAATAATTAGAGCGATTTTTGGAATTCATTCCTTAAGGGGGTAAAACTAAGGGTAAAAATTTGTATAATTTTTATGTAAAATCCGTTCTAGGACTAGGAGTATGCAATTTTGTACAGAGGTCCCTTAAGTGATGAAAGTGTGTACCCAGAAGAAAATTTTGGACATGCACCCCCTAAAAAATAAGCACTCCCTATAAAACAATTAAAATACAAAATTTGTTTAAAAAATAAAAAAAAAATTGGGGTGGGCCACTCTTATCACTTAGGGGTATAAAAATAGATAACAACCTAGGAATAGGTTGTGACCAAACCAAACCAAACTAGACCTACTGAATATACATATAAAATTTTATCAAAATCGGTCTAGCCGTTTCGGAGATGGTAACAAAAAATTAAAAAAAACAACCCCTATTAAAATATAGGGGATGATGGTGGAACGGTGAAAATTTAGGGTTATTTGTATTTATTAATGCCAACTAAAAAAATAATAACATTTTTTCTTTTCAAAAAATAAAAATGAGGGTGGGCTACCCTTACCACATAAGGGTATAAAAATAGATAACAACCTATTCTTAGACGTACTGAATATACATAAAAATTTTATCAAAATCGGTCAAAGCCGTTTCACGGATGGTAACAAAAAATTAAAAAAACAACCACTATTAAAAATAGGGGGATGATGGTAGAACGGTGAAAATTTTGGGTTCTTTGTATTTTTAATGCAAAATAAAAAATAAAAAATATATATTTTTTTCAAAATATAAAAAAAATGGGAATGGGCTACCCTTATCACTTAAGGGTATAAAAAAATAGATAACAAACTATTTTCAGACCTACTCAATATACATAATAAAATTTCATCAAAATCGGCAAAACCGTTTCGGAAATGGTAACAAGAAACTTTTAAAAAACAACCCCTATTAAAAAATAGGGGATGATGGTAGAACGGTGAAAATTTAGAGTTGTTTTGTATTTTTTAAGGCCAAATAAAAAATATTTTTTTTTCAAAAAAAAAAAAATGAGGGTGGGCTACCCTCTCGGCTACCCTTATCACTTAAGGGTATAAGAATAGATAACAACCTATTCTTAGACGTACTGAATATACATATAAAATTTTATCAAAATCGGTTAAGCCGTTTCGGAGATGGTAACAAAAAATCTTAAAAAACAACCCCTGTTAAAAAATAGGGGATGATGGTAGAACGGTGAAAATTTAGGGTTGTTTGTATTTTTTAATGCTAAATAAAAAAAAAATAAATATTTTTTTTTCAGAAAATATAAAAATGGGGGTGGGCTACCCTTACCACTTAAGGGTATAAAAAATAGACAACAAACTATTTTCAGACCTACTCAATATACATAATAAAATGTCATCAAAATCGGCCAAGCCGTTTCGGAGATGGTATCAAAAAAACAACCCCTATTAGAAAATAGGGGATGATGGTAGAACGGTGAAAATTTAGAGTTGTTTGTATTTTTAAGGCCAAAAAAAATTATTTTTTTTTCCAAAAATAAAAAAATGAGGGTGGGCTACCCTTATCACTTAAGGGTACAAGAATAGATAACAACCTATTCTTAGACGTACTGAATATACAAATAAAATTTTATCAAAATCGGTTAAGCCGTTTCGGAGATGGTAACAAAAAATCTTAAAAAACAACCCCTGTTAAAAAATAGGGGATGATGGTAGAACGGTGAAAATTTAGGGTTGTTTGTATTTTTTAATGAGAAATAAAAAAAATTAAAATATTTTTTTTTTCAAAAAATAAAAAAAATGGGGGTGGGCTACCCTTATCACTTAAGGGTATAAAAACAGATAACAACGTATTCTCAGACTTACTGAATATACATATAAAATTTCATCAAAATCGATCAAGCCGTTTCGGAGATGGTAACAAAAAATTAAAAAAAAACATCCCCTATTAAAAAATAGGGGATGATGGTAGAACGGTGAAAACTTAGGGTTGTTTGTATTTTTTAATGCCAAATAAAAAAAATAAAAATATTTTTTTTTTAAATAAAAAAAATGGGGGTGGGCTACCCTTATCACTTAAGGGTATAAAAAATATATAACAACCTGTTTTCAGACCTACTCAATATACTTATAAAATTTCATCAAAATCGGCTAAGCCGTTTCGGAGATGGCAACAAAAAAAAATAAAAAACAACCCCTATTAAAAATAGGGGATGATAGCAGAACGGTGAAAATTTAGGGTTGTTTGTATTTCTTAATGCCAAATAAAAAAATAAAAAACATTTTTTTCTTTTCAAAAACTAAAAAAAAATGAGGGTGGGTTACCCTCTCGGCTACCCTTATCAGTTAAGGGTATAAAAATAGATAACAACTTATTCTTAGACGTACTGAATATACATATAAAATTTTATCAAAATCGGTTAAGCCGTTTCGGAGATGGTAACAAAAAATTAAAAAAACAACCCCTATTAAAAAATAGGGGATGAAAGTAGAACGGTGAAAATTTAGTGTTGTTTGTATTTTTTAATGCCAAATAAAAAAAAATTAAAATATTGTTTTTTCACAAAATAAAAAAATGGGGGTGGACTACCCTTATCATTTAAGGGTATAAAAAATATATAACTACCTATTCTCAGACCTACTGAATATACATATAAAATTTCATCAAAATCGGTTAAGCCGTTTCGGAGGAGTACGGTAACCAAAACTGTAACACGGGAATTATATAGATAATATTATATGTAAACTGCGGAGTGCGGAGAACGGAAAGACTGATTATAGCAATAGATAAAATTTAAAACTATAATTTAAAACTATTCAAGAAAGTACACACAAAACAAGGCAACGCCGCGCGTCTATTCGTTCAATTCCGAGCAAAATAGCGAGGCTCCACGAAGTTGGGGCCTCGCTCGCCAAAGCGAGGCCCCATCGACAGGTCAGATTTTGATGCCAGACGAGACTTCTAGGGTATTAAGATTTTCTTTGCCGCAAGGTATAATTTCTATGGAGGGCTTAATAATTTCAAATAAACCATATGCAAAAATGTCAAAATTGACATATGATATGTCATTCTATTCAGAATGTCATTTTCTATTGAATAAAGTAAAAAATACCGAGGGTGCCATTTAAAAATCAAAATTTGTAGTCATTTCCGGTGGAACAGGAAGTGACTAAAAACAATTGAATACGTCACTCAATCCTAATTTACGTCATATACTAACATACCAAATCTCATTTTTTTAACTGAAAGAATAAAAATGTTCTAGGGGTGAGCCACTTTTGAGGCGCACCCGGTATATTAAAAAAAATGTAAAAACGGCAGTATTTATTATAATGTTGGGCCACAATTAAAAACTCCAATAATATACCCGTGATTTGATTCATCCATGGTTGGAATATATGCATCACATTTGAAGAGCACATCCATGTGTAATCTAAAAAGCCCCCGAGGCAAAGAATTCCAATCTAAATTTATTTATTTTTGGAGTCTTTGGTAATGTCATATTCTATTTATATTTAAAAATAAAATCCCAAGTATACAATATTGACTAATAACTGATTTATTTTTTTATGTCCGATATAAATTGAGGAACCAAGTACAACAAAAGTCATTCAAATATTATAATTAAGTAATTCGTGTGCATTATACTAAATAGCAGTATTAAATTAAATATTCTGTCTATTTTCCATTACTCGGCGAATACTCTCTTCATCTTGAGCTTTCTTAATACATTCCATTAATTCGTGGTTGTATGTACTGTGTAGCATCAATGCAAGGACCCCAGCCCTATTTGCCATGTTTGATCTTATTTGCCGTTCTTTTTCTAACAATTCATCCATCTTTAACCACTGGCGAACTCTTTCCAGATCAACCTGCAAGAATGTTTTATTTTTTAATTAAAACCAGCTTAAAATAATACGGGATAGGATTTTCTTACCTCAGCTCTTCTTAACTTTTCCCATACATAATGTTTTGTACAAGATTTCTTAGGTGCTCTACAAAAATCGCCAGTTGGTGAGAAAACGTTCGTTACTAAAGGACATCCACACACTTCATGATCTTGTATTTTTGGATCTTTACAATGCTCTGGACACAGAACTCTTAGACGTTTACAATACGTTCTGTTTGAGGAATTGAAAAAATCACAGAACATATTATTACCTAAACGAGAAAGATTTAATTATAATTAATTATAAGGATACATACGCAACAAAAAACCTACCTTCTATTCTAGTTTTAAAAATACTTCCAAATGATGCTTGAGCTTCATATTTATTAAAACATTTTTCCATGTGCCTGATAGCTGTTTTGGAATGGATTTCGTGTCCACAAGTTACACAATACATTGAACTCTCTTCATCTCGTTCGAGATCGTTCTCAAGATTAACATCAATAGTAGCATTTTTGGCTCTTTCAATCAAGTAATCGATTTCACGATGACGTTTGTCCAGTTCAAGAAGAATTTGTCGAACTTCCAGTTGCTGTTTTCTTACTTGATCTAATGCTACAAATATAATTTTTCTAAATTTAAAACTGAGTGCTGCAATTTTTCGCAGAAAAATATATGATGAAAAAAGTTTTTTAAAAAATTTATTATTTTAATTTTTATAAAAAATTCTTTGTAAGGATTACTTATAAAATTTAGATTTTTATAAAAATTACCTACAAAAAGACATATGTGGCTTAAAGAGAGAAAAAAAGGTTGGAAGAAACGTTAAAGGAAAATTGAGAAAAAAAGAAGAGTATGTACTGCCATATTACCAATAAAATATAATTTTTTATTGTCTTTATTGATTATTTTATAATTATATTTATGCTTTTTTAATTTATTTATATAAAGCAATGAATAAAGAATACAAGGACACGTAATGCCCATATACGGGCTGCAAAAGAATTTGTGATGTTAGACGCCATTTTTTTGGATCTAAAGAATAAGTCATGAGCGACAATTTTAGCGATTTTTAATAGTTTGTGCGTAGTTAATTTTGTATAAATTTTATTACAATGGTGATCAGTTGTTCAGCTTTCAAGTGTAAAAGCCGCAGCGATAAGAAAGAACCAGGAGTGATTCATAGGTAAATAAACAGTCCACTCTACCTTTTTAGCGTTTTCTTATTGAATTCGATAATTATTTTTCTGATATTATATGTACTTGATATCGTCCCATTGCTGCCAAAAGTCACTAACTTACTTTTTATTACTTCCGAGAAAAAAGCGTCTAAAGATGAATTGCATTGCGTAAAGATGTTATAGTTAGTAACTATTCTGTATTAAAATAAAACATAAATAGCCAGAAATCGTAGTTAATGACTTTTGCAATCGATACTCCGCTTCAAAACATAGTTAGTGATTGTTCGGAAAAATGTTAGTTAGTGACTTTTGGCAGCAATAGGATGATATATGCTATACGTCGATACAAGTTTTGTACCTTTTGTTAACATTTTAACCTTCAACTGGCGTGGTGTGGTCCAGCGGACCCCAAGCACTATTTAAACCTCTGTAAAATGTTTACGTTTAAGAATTAGGTCTCGCCGCTCCATTTACCTTTAAGTTATGGTACCAATATGCAACTGTTAAAAGCGCACTTGATTTTATCAAGTATTGTTCCTACCAGCGGGAGCTAAAGTTTCATTGGGGTCTGTGTAGCACCACCACGCCAAGAATGTTACATTATTAGGATGGTGGGTAGTCTAAAAAGTGTGCCTCATTAGGACGCTAATTTTGAGGAAGCATTAATTGAGTGGTTTGATGACCTTAAAGAGGCTTAAGTGAGATGAAGACCATCGAGACATTGATTTTTCTCCGAAGAGTAACCATAACTCCGATTCTAAATCTCTTACTTATAGAAGAGAGAAAATTGAATAATCAATACCAGAAAAGAAAGAGATGTGATATATGGCAACCATATATCAATGAAGAAATGACAAAAAACAAAAATCTCATGAATCAAATGTGCACGATCCATGTGCGGCAAATGCAAATCCTATATTAGCATGAACTGTATTTGAAAAAGTTATGTACATTCAAGGTTTGCAGTTTTGTTGAATTTAATTTATGTTTATTACTTTTGCTTCACATTTCAGTTGCTTGTAGTTTTAATAATAAGGTAAAATCATAAAATATATACGTTTTTAATTTCTATGGGTTTCTTAGCCAAGTTATAAGTCTGTTCTCAATAATTCCTAAAAAATGCGTTTTACTTTATTTTTGTGTCCGTTCTTATTAATTTGTTGAAAATTAATGAAATTGTTTGTTCACAAGGTTGGATATATTGTAAACAGTGTTAAAATAACTAGCTTTTTATAAAATCTCTTCATCACGTATTTTAAACTGAAAAAAAAAATTGGGGACCCCAGCACGCCATAAGCGTTACAAAAATTCACCACGCCAGTTGAGGATTAATGTTTTTTTTTTCATAATTAATTAGCATGATATACCACCGCATACACCATAGGCGTAGTCGAAACATTTATCAAAAACATAAATATCTCTTCAAGCAGCTAAATTAAGAGAAATATGTACCACGGCACTGTATGGAGGTATGGTAACAATTCGGTCTCGGGTGTTATTAGTCCTTGTATTCTTTTGTTATTGGTATAAAGTTATAATAAATAGGATAAATACCTTTAATATTCTTCTCTTCCGCCATTGAAGGAGACAAAGCCCATTCTTGAAGTCTCTGTGGAAGAACTTGCAGCACTCTTGTTTTAGCCAAATTCATGCCACATTGATCTGAGCAGTATTTTGACCCATACCGTGCACTTCTGATACATTTTGGGCCATAACACTGCCTCGGGTAATCGGTTTTTAAATGTTCATTGTATGTTTGTTCTGCATCAGACATAGAATCTTTTCTTTTCCTTCGTGATCTAGCATAACATTAATATGATATTTTATATATACTACAAGACCGACTTATAAAACTTTGTAATTATTAATATACTTATAATATTTTATAAATTACATGTTAATATATATTTTATATATTAATAATTATAAAGTTTTTTATTTTAATGGGTCTAACACTAGAGCCCTAAGGGCTTATGGTAATAGGGGAGTATATTATTTATATAATTTTCAGTTGCAATATAATTTGATATTTTTTATATTTGCTTTCAAAGTATAAATGATGAACATTTCATTAACTATCAATTAATTATTGAATAATTCTAATAATTTTTTTGGATATTCAGTAAACAATTCTTTTAAGAATTATTTTTTCCAAATATAGACATGCATAAAAATTGTTCATCTTACCCTCCTGCATGAGCATTAACACAAATCCTTTGTTTGCATCTTTCTTTGGTTTTTGATGAACTGTATTTATTTTTTCTTGTACATACATCACACCGACCACAATCCTCTGTTCTGTAGCAACCCATGCACTCTCCACATTTTTTAACCTTTTTATCTGCTTTGACTAGAAAAATATAGGAGCGTTTAGTATTTTTTTATACATATATGCTATACTCACCTTCACGTTGGTATCTCTCTTTACGCTTTTTTGACTTTTTTTCCACTGACACTTGTGGGGTAGGAGCCGGAACAGAATCCTCCCTTTCACGTTTGGTCTTCCACCGGGTTTGTAAAGTGGGATCTTCTTCTCGACATCGAATACAAAAATATTGTCTAATTAATTTTGCTTCTTTTTCTGATATTTTTATGCAATCGCCATGATACCTAAACCATAAATTTATGTACAGTTTTTCACTGATAATGGGCAAAATCACCTCAAGCGGATGTATATTTTAATGTAAAGTAGAATGCAAGTAATTAAACACTGAAACAATAAATAGTTTTAACAATTTTCTTTACAATGAAATTTTCAATAAATTGACTGAAAGAGTTTTTTAAGACAATTTCTTTAATTTTGTGTCTGAAAAAAATTCTGATAAAAATTTTGAAATGCAGGTTTCGGACTTAATTAGTATTATATTTAATATTAAAATATATGAACTTGAATTCCATGATTAAATGGGAAATTAGGAATCCACCTGAGGTAATTATGGCCTAATAAAATCAAATTTATTGTTGATTCTATACCATTCTTCACAAGCATCACAGGCTATCATAAATCTGGAAGAATCTGATGATCTACAAATGCAATATGCTTGACCATCTTGCCTTAACAGCGTATCTATTTTAGATTGTCTTTCGGGCAAGACAAATTGTTTTGCAATAGCTTCTCTCTGGCATTAAACACAAGAGTGATTAAAAAAATGCAATAAATCAAATTATGGTCCCTTACCGTGATATCTGAACGTTTACGTGACATGTTTTTAACGGTAAATATAACTTTATCCCTCTTTACTTGCTTATAATAAATTCTTATAAAATCTACTATTATCTTTTAGGCATATGTAGGTTTTATAAACTTCTTAGGACATTCTTTCGTAATAGCAACTTATCCACTTTGAAACACTTTTGAAAACGTGTCTAACAAATTTTAACAAACCTTCAAAAATTTACCTAATTCAGTTTGTATTATATGGTTTTAACCATAAAATAATTAACTAGAAAGAAGTGTCAACTCTGTGTTAAATCGTGGAAACACGATACGCCACCGAAAGCCTTCGTTGTCGTCTGGAGAACTAATTTTCCAATTGACAGGTTGACATGATAAGGACATGATGGCTTAATTCTCATTTCCGTTTCCGGTTATTCAATGGCGGGTCCTCTTCCGGAATTGTAAAATACACTTTTTATTTTAATTATTTTTATTCCTTTAATTTGCAATTTTATTTTTAAAACATATTATGTGGAAACAATCAAATATGTCTTAAAAATAAAATTACAAACGGAAACAAAAGGAATTAAATAATCTGAAAATCTACAAAGTTTATTGATAAAAAAGTTAGGCTATGCAAATTGATAAGTATATTAAGTATAACCTCTTTGGTATAACATTGTTAAACATTAACAAATCATAACATATCAGATCATAGAACTAAAAAAAGTACTATTACATAAAAACAGGTGATACAATACTTCAAAATTAATTTTAACATAATATCAAAACCAAAAAATCAAACTGCAAACACAACCACACTTATCACAACAGAAATTAACACACACTTCCGCGGCAAATGTCCAAGAAAGACTGATCATTCTGATTGGTCCTGGTCCGGTCGTAGCTCACGTCGTATTATCGGTAAGCAAAATCCCTGTCCAAAAATTTTGACGATCAGCGCCATCATCCGTCATAATTGGGAAACTTTTGCTGGAACCATTTTTAATATTTCACTTACATGGCCCTGCTTCGATACCACACAAACGTCTTATACAAAAAGTTTGGAAAATATTGGGTAAAATCAAAACCTCATTGGGTAAAATATACAAATGTCATAAAAAAACGATAACTGTCACTGTCAACCTGTCAACAACTGTATCTTTTTAGAGCTGGGGTGACATTTGAACTACGCATTTTCCAAGAACACTATGTCAGGGATGGGAATGTAAAAAACACTAATAAAGAGGTATTTACAAGGGTTTTGTTGGAAAAACTTTATACACGAAAACAAACTGTATTTGGTATTTTTTTGGATAACTATGGTTTATAGCAGTTTATCAGAAAATAGGTTGGTATTTTAGAGGTAAATATATATTTTAATATTTTATGTAGAAAAAACGGACAGTTCTTTATGTAAAAATATCGAAGCAGCATTGAATACCTAAAAATTATAAGAAAAAAATTCCAAAAAACTTTAATTCGCTTAAAAATAAAGAATAAATTGCAAAAAGATCTAAAAAAAGTATTATTTTATTAAATCAACACAAGAACGGGGCTTGGCCTGTATCCGTAAAGCTTGTTTCATATAGACGCGAATCGCGAATTGCGATTTTGCGAAACTGCTCTCATTGGTCCAATTTTACTGATCATGGCGGCGCTGTCAGAAATTTTAAGATTTTGGCGATTCGCAAGATTTAAAATTTGGGGGGCGGGAAAGTTAAAGTGTTTTCAACTTTGCAGATATTCGCGATTTTTAAGGTACGCGTTTGCGTAGAATGGTGTTGTGATCCGGTTATCGATTATTTTGACGACGCTGCCGCAAAGTGGCTGGAAAGCATTTCTCAGTTGAAATGGGTTCTCGTCTCGTACATAATATGTTTTTGATATATATGGTGACAATTTTTTCAACTTCAACCAAGTTATCAAACTCCTATACAGACAATCTGTGAAAATTCCTAAATTTTTTCTCATTTTTTTTTCTTCCTTATTTCTTGACAAAAGAAGAGGACGCCGACGTGCATAAAAATGTTCCGTAACTGAAATTGACAGAAATCATATAGAAATATTCAGATTTTTGTCTAGGACAGTCTAGAAGGCCATGCTTTCTGCCTGGGTAAGACCGCGCCAGAACTGTTTCCAATTTTCCGGTTTACTGTCACCCCCCTGGTTTTAACAATAAGTAAATGGCAATTTTACACCTTATTCTATTCCAATCCCACAATCGTAATCGATATTCATAATTATTAAACAAATTTAAACTCATATTGTATGCTATAAAATATAAAATAAAGATCGTAAACACGAATAAATATGTATAAAACAAATTAAGTTATCTCAGCACATATCTCAGGTTATGATTTTTTTTTGGTAACTTTCAGTGGAGCAAAAATGAAATGTCCCTAAAAATTCGCGACTGTATGAAATAGGTCCAAATTTTGCGAATATTTTTTGGCGAATCGCTTTTCGCAATTCGCGATTCGCGTCTATATGAAACAAGCTTTTTATTCGGATTCTTGGATTAGGACGTTGGGACAGGTGGGACCATGTTGGGACATTTTGGGACGTATATAACTCATTTAAAAAATCTGTTTGTGAAAATGTTTTTTTTTTAAGTTTTTCGGTTATGGACGGTAGAATCGGTAGAATCCCACCCCTGCTCTCTATATTTCCGGCCTCTCCGGAAAAGGAATAAAAGCTGATAAAAGTGTTTTCTTTGTACCATGGAATAAAAGTAAGTATATATCTTTGGTATATATGATCTAGGAATAAAATGAACAATTTTTTTCTGTGGTATTTGATATCTAAAAAGAAATAGCAAATCCCAATTTCTCCAATGTGAAAAAGGATAAGACGATTATTCAACTGCCACTAGATTATTGGCGCTTTTAAATAACTGTCGTCTCTCCATTTTGAATCAACAAATTTTAAGTTCGTTAACTTTGTTCGATCTTGATTGTGTTATTAAATTTATACTTTAGTAAGTACATACTTCATTAAAGTACTTTAATCCATTACAAACAAATTCTATATAATCCAGACACATTTTTGGCCCAACTTAATTAAACTTGAGTTAGTGGAAAAATATGTAACACGGGTCAGGTTATCTGTATCCACATTTTGTTATAGTTTTCAGGTTTACCATGGCTAGTGCATATAAAATAGATGATTTCTTTAAAATTGAAAAGATTGGAGAAGGGACTTATGGCGTCGTATATAAAGGAAAAAATAAGAAGACTGGAGAAATGGTGGCGATGAAGAAGATACGGTATACTAATGCTTTTTATAACTTTTCTTATTATCATGTCTGCTTTTATGTAGATTGGAAAATGAAGACGAAGGGATTCCTTCCACAGCCTTAAGGGAAATGTCATTACTGAAAGAACTTAATCATAAAAATATAGTTACATTACTCGAAGTCATAATGGATGAACCACGGTAGGTATTTTTTTTGCACAATGCAATATAGTCTGTCTAACGACCCTTCGCACCGCGCCTGTGACGTCACAACGTAGGCCCTGAGTTAGTAGATATGTGGATACAAGAAAACATTCTGATTTTCCTAGTTTCCAATAAATTGTATGTATTTTTTTTTAAGTAAGATGTTCTTGATGTCTTCAAATATTGCATGATCAAAAAGGTTTATGATCAAATAACCTTGACTGAAGACAAACTATACTTATGGGAAATTACATTAGTACTGGTTTAACTGTTAAAATCAAAGACTACATGAATATTAAAGTTTTTGTTGTACATCTCTAGCAAAAATTTGTTTAACTGTTTATTGCCTGGCAAAGAGTTGTTTAAAAACTCTTGTGATCTTTTTATTAAATATTTTTAAAATCTCTTTATCTAATATTACTGTTCTTTTTTTCTGCGCTTATAAACGCAAATACATATCTTAATTTTAGGGTTTTACAGTATTATATTAAGTCTAACTGGTCCCTACAAAATATATATATACTAGGGCTATAAGCTTTTAAGTCCTATAATATATGCCTAGTAAAAATATATATACCGGGTGCGTTTCAAAAGTGGCTCTATAACTTTTTTATTTTTTCAGTTAAAAAAATGAGGGTAATTATTGGGGAAACTGAAAATTGTCCGATTTTCACCAAAATTAGTATACATTTTGAGGTTGTAGATTATGAATCTGACCTTTTTTCTTGGCGGTCTCTTACCGTTTTTCAGAAAAACGGAAAATAATTTCAACGTTGAATTTTTCTTTATTTCGGCCCTATAAAGCAATAATTTCACTCTATTTTCATTATATTATAGTTTATCTAGAAGCCACACTTGATTGAGGATAGAAAAATGTCCAAAATTTTACTGAAAAACACTTTTCTTAACAAAATAACAAAGAAAATTGAGACCAGATGGAAGTTTGACATTTCAAATCATATGTCCTTATTTCAAGTCATATGTCCTTTTTCCTATTTCACCGGAAATGACTACAACTTTTGATTTTTAAATGACACTCTCAGTATTTTTAGCTGACCATACCAATAGGTATGGTAGGCTATTAGGATCGGCAAAAAAAAGTTTTTTTAATTTCACTCAAAATGAGTTACTTGGGTCATAAATGACCTAAATACAAAATATTTTCATGGTGTCTGTCTGTCTGTCTGTCCGTCTGTAACACGATAACTCAAAAACCGCTGAACCGATTTTAACCAAATTTGGCACAAAAATACTGTGGCACCCGAGAATCTGGCCATTAGTTTTTGGTGGGGGTGGGTGGTTGGTAAGGGGGTATGGGAGGGGGTTAAAAATTTAAAAAAATCGTAACTCCAAAATTACAGTAGCTAGCGAAACGCGGTTTTCAAATTAAGATGAGGAATAATATTTGTGCAACAAAATCCATACATATATAAAAGCTCAAAGGGTTTTATTGTTACATCCATCCCGCCGAAACTGCTTTACCAATCTTGATGATTCTTTTTTTAAACGAAAGGTATATATGTCTAGATTTGTTATGAAATATTTTTAAATTGTTGAATGGCCATTTCTTTGTGTAAATCGACTAAATATTAAAACGTACCTGAAAAACACCTACACACAATATCTTCAGAAATAAATTATTTGTCATTGTCAGTGGTTTGTCAGTTAGATTATATATCAAGTTTTTAGATAATTTAGGGATCAGTTCATACAACCAGCTTTAGATACATAAATATTAGAACAAAGATTCGTTTAAACGACATTAGTGAATTAGCTACACAAAGCGATTTTAGGAAATTCATCCTCTTAGAGAGTAAAATTATGTCGGAACAATTTGTTGTATGAAAATTCCTTACTATGCGGTCTAGAAGAATGAAATCCTACAAAACGAATTAGAAGAGATTTTTGAAATTCATCAACCAAATGGATAAAGTTAGTAAAAATTTATATAAAACTTGGTGACCTCTGGATTATACACATAAAAATTGGCACAAAGGATCATTTAAAAGACATGAGTTAATTATTTGGATAAAGCGGTTTTATGAAATTTATAATCTTAGGGAGTAGAATAGGGAATGAAAGTTTGCTGTACGAAAATGCATTACTATAACATCTAGCAGTATAAAATTTTATACAAGGGTTTATTTAGTGACACATCAATAATATAAACGAAATATTTCTTCTTCAATTATCCTTCAAGGAATAAAAAATAACTATAAATGGAGTATTAGTGCTCCTAATAAACCAAAAAAAGAGATGAAAAATAAAAAAAAAATATCAACAAATATCAAAACTTCATATTTGAAAACTATTTATTTTAGTAATACAGTTTATATGGGACCATAGGTAGGGGTTCTATCTATAGAGGGTAAATAATCATTTCACTATTTATTATTTTGGAGAGATTTTATTTTTTCAGATTTTGCAAAATTTCTTTGAAATTGACTTTGGTTCGATTTCGAAAATAATCTATATATAAATAAGAAATAAAAAACCGCCCTGGAAGATCGCCATCCACCCTCTATCCAACCATACATAATTAGTTTCAGTCAATGGAAGTAGTTGGAAAAAATAAAAAAAAAGTGTTAAAAAAAGCAAGATTTCAAAAACATTTTGTGGCCAAAATTGAACTTCTTTGAAATACTTTGATTTCGATAACTTCTAGAATTATTAAGATTTTTTGTTTCAGACGGCTCTAATCAAAAGTTTTATTTTTGGTATACAAAGTGTGTCATAAAGTCATATACAGGCGATGAAAAAATAAAAAACGGTTGTTAAATTTTCGAATTTTCTTAAGTACATAATAATATTTAAAGAGAATAAAAATGCTCTTGAAGTTGGAATATTGACGGCTTTTTATAAATTTTACGTAAAAAATATGTAATAAGTCAAAAATAACAATATCGATTTTTTGTCGAGCGAGTCTTAAATAAGTGCAATTATTCTTAGCGGTAATAGGTATATTTGACCCCAGAAAAAAGATTTGAGTTTTTTCGCGAAATTTTTTTTTGAAAATTTGGAATTTTTTGAAAAACTTTTTGGATTTTTTTTTAGTTTTTAGTTAAAAACCATAATTTCTTGATAATATGGCAACATAGATAGGTAGTAGATTAAATTTACAAAACAGAAAAACCCGAAAAGCTGCAGTGGTTCTCAAAATTTAAGCAAAAAATATTTTTTTTTGGAAAGTTTTTAAAGTAAAATAACTCAGTTATTTTGGAGTTATTTGAAAAAGAAAAAAAGAGAAAATATGTTTTTTTATCGAGATCTACCAGCCCTGAAAATATTTGCACTTATACAAGACTTGCCCTGTATAATACCCAGAAAATCGACAATTGATAACTTTCATATGAAATACGAGTAGCTCTAAAACTCTTAAAAACATAGTTTAAATAGGGCATTTGTAAGGCTCACTAGCTCTATATACAAAGTAAATCATTTAAATCAATGCATGAACTATTCGAGGTGTAAAGGTTGATTTTCATGCATCCGTTGTCTGACGATACGTTGATACGATATTAATTTCATTGGTTGTATTTAAAGGCTTCGATTGGTTAACCGTTTCTAACCAACCGAAGTCTTTAAATTCAACCAATAAAATTAATATCGTATCATCGTATCGTCGGACAACGGATGCATGAAAATCAAGCTTAACGCGAACGTAGTCGCGGGAAAAACCTAGTTTGTAATAACATCGAAATCAGTCAAAGTCGCAGTTTTCGAGATATTAACAGATTTTAATATGGGCGGCTATACGTGCCTCCCGGCGTCAATTTTTTTACTTTATTCCATATAAAATAGCACTCTGAATAGAATGAATAGAATGATATATCATATGTCAACTTTTGACATTTTCGCATATGGTTTATTTGAAATTATAACTTGCGGTTCGTAACGACAATTTGACTCGAAATACCAAGTGTGTGGTATCAAATTATTCGTAAAAAATGCTTTTTTCAAATATGCTAATGAGCCACCCTCGTTCCATTTGAAAAAATTTTGATATGATTAAAAATACGATTTGAGAATTTTTTAACCGGCCAGGAGAAGGCACTAAAAACATTAGACGATCAAATCTATTTTTCTAGGGCATCTTGATTAAGAATTTGTGATTTTAACATAGTCACGGTACTCTAGATTGAATTTTAAAATACGATTTTTTATTAAGCGAGAATGTCAAAAGTTGACATATGATATGTCATTCTGTTCAGAATGTCATTTTCTATCGAATAAAGTAAAAAAATATCGAGAGTACCATTTAAAAATCAAAAGTTGTAGTCATTTCCGGTGAAACAGGAAGTGACCAAAAACAATTGAATACATCAATCAATCCTAATTTATGTCATATACTAACATACCAAATCTCATTTTTTTATCTGAAAAAATAAAAAAGTTTAATGAGCCACTTTTGAGACGCACCCGGTATAGGGAAAGAACTTGATATCCACTAGCTGTCCAGAACTCTCTTGTAAAATTAGTAAAATGGCGCTTATCATGTTTCCCTCGGTATCCTACAAATTGTTTAACAATTAACATAAATACTAAAGTTATTTATTAAGAAAAAGCCGTTATAAAAAGGAATACTATATACAAGTCTCTGTTGTGGCCAGTTTGACTCAGTTTTATTAGTTATTTAAAATTATTTAAATAAGGGACCAGCAAACCTCGATGAAAACCATTGAAAAACTTCTATGAACGCACTGACAACACGCCGTGAGTATACAGGTTGTTAACTCGACAGTTACTTATAGGGGAACAGAATTGCAACACTGCCTATTGAGAACGCATGCATTATTGATTTTTCTGCCGACTCGTTGCGTTGTCTATCGACGAGCGGGCCGAGGTTGCCATATTTCAACCGTAAAGCTCTTGCCGCGAGTAATGAACAACTTAACAACCTGTATATATAGTTGCCTAACACTATTTTAAATAGTAATACAGATAGACCCGGGACCTTTGGTGTCACTATAGCAAAAGAAAACACTAAACACAATACACAAGAACACTTCTATATTTTTTCCAAGGGGTGTCTCACAAATTAAATGGCTAAAATCTTAAAGTATCAAAGTTATTTGGACCTCTTTGTACCTTGTTTATATACTGTATGATCGAAAATAAACGGCGTCCAGTTAGGTGGGAAATGACGATCGATAACATTCCCCATATAATTTTACCCATCGCTGACGCCATTTTTTTCAATCACGTATTACATTTGCATAGTATACACGCAATATATTACCTAATCACATGACAATCTGTAGCACAGCCTATTGAGTACCAGTTGGATAACTTATTGTCTTTTACATTGAAATTTGCTATCCTACCCTGATATTCGCTTATCTTATTTTATGTAACAATTTTGAGTTCCACTACTGAGGTTTTGCTTAAAAAATGATCGAGAATAGTGTTCTGGCCTTTAGCATATGTAGGGGAATAGGCGCAGTAGGGTTCAGAACCGGGAACCGAACATCCTGTCTGGAAAGTACCGGGAATTCCGGGTTCTTTTGAACCATCGAAAAACCGGAACTCAGAAAGAAATTCCCGATACTTTCGGTATTTTCTGGACTTGGTTATAGTATTAAAAATCATTTCTAGTTACGCGCGGTCATTTGTCACTTTCTAACGGTCGAAATCAAACCCAAATGAGTAGTGATGCTATTTCTTATTGTTCCTACTTCTTTTCTCTTTTGAAGTTGCTATAATGTTTATTAGCAATTATTGAACTTGGCCTCGCAATACAACTCTTGGCCTCACAATATTAAATTTTTACCATGGTAATAAAGAAATGAGAGTTATGTAATTTTAGGTTGTATCTAATATTTGAGTACTTATGCATGGATTTGAAGAAATATTTGGATAAAATTGAAACAGGTAAACTTATGGATCCTAAACTTGTAAAGAGTTACTTATATCAAATAAATGAGGCGATATTGTTTTGCCATCAACGTAGAATTATACATAGAGATTTAAAACCACAGAACTTACTAATAAGCAAAGATGGTTTAATTAAGGTAAGAGATATTTGTATCCTATATTCTAATTCTTTTGCACGTCAAAGTTAATTACATTTACGAATTACCAATAGTTATACAAAAGCTGATGTGGTGTTACTAAATAATTGATTATGTCGTATTTTTAATCATTGCGACTTATTTTAAACTGTAGAGTATTTGATTAATTTTTTATTCTCTAAAGTCCCGTCTACACATAACGTTTTACCTGTCAATCTTGCCTGTTCAGTCTTCAGTCCAAAGGTATCAAGTAAAACCTTGTGCATAGACAAAAAAAAGGTCCGTTTTACTTAAACTGATCTAAGACAGTTGTCCGTCTAGAGGGACGCCTTTCTAGATATTCTTCCGTTTTACCTGACTGGCAAATATAACAGGTAAAACGTTATATGTAGACTGGTCCTTAAGTGGGTTTATAAGTTCTGAGAACTTAATTAGAAACTTCCAATATCCTATTAGAATTAACAGTGGCGGCTCGTGGTTATTGTAGGAAGGTCAATATCTAAAAATATTGCGTCGATTTTTTTAAGACGCGACCAAATTTAATTGGTTTCTTACAAGGTACTTGTACGTTTAGTTAAAGGTTATGTTAAAATGAAACCTACCCTTACATTTTTAAACAGGTGGTCTAGTGCCATTTCACCAAAAATCCAGTGAATGTTTTTACACAAATTTTCCACGATAGGATTTAAAAGACTTAAATAATGTCAAAAAAATATAAATACACATACACATTTCTAAAAGTTTTATTTCACGTTTTTTTAATATTTTAAGTCAATTCTTTCTCTAAACGTTTTTCGAAATTTAAGCAATTGTTTTAACCGCACGATTTTACAAACTAAACACCATAATATGTTGTCTATTAGAAAATATCTATTCCAGAATCAGTCAGCAAGAGTTTATCATTTATCCAGAACCAGAAAATTATGAATTATTACCTACACAAATTACACAAATTTCGCGCTGCATCTCAAACCCTCGACTACGACAAAGCTACGGCAACTAAAACTATTTTTTTTTCGATATTAATAACTTAAATATTGATTTATACTGACTAAACCAAACATTATACGCGATACGCGATAAATGATACAAAAACCTAGGTTGTTTTATAATTTGAGTTTTTATAAACACCCAAACTGCCCAAACGGCGAAATTTTTCCAACGATATGACTGAAATCCTGTAATACATTTATATAGAAATAATGCACTCGATATTTCTTAATTAACTATACAGGGTGCTACAAATTCGAGGTACGAGCATTGGTATCTCGCAAACCGTAATAGATACGAAGATAGTTAAATTGGGGTAAAGTTGCTCCTTTGGATGTTCACCAAGATGCCAACAAAAAAGTTTTAGAAATTTCAAGGATTGCTGAGTTTTTTTGGAAAAAACTGATTTTTGTGAAAATCAATTTTATTTTTTCCTGTCGTTACTTTTTAGAAAATCAAAATACTAACTGCACATTCTCATAGCCACTTTATTAGGGCTATCTGATAGTATTTTTATATTTTTAAATTAGCTGATAATTTGTGAGATACAGAGGCCAACTTATTTTTTTTAAATACGGACCTGTATTTTTTATATCAATTTTTGAAAGAACCCGGTCTCCCGAGTACAATGATATGCCACACTTATACTTTTTTTGTTTTGGGTAACTTAACAAAACTATTTAATTACTTATTATTTAAGATAATTTCAAGTCCGACTCTGGTTTTTTAATTATTTAATCTAATTATATTCATTGCAACAATATTGATCAGCGCTAATTAACAATGAGACACAAGTGTTAAGAAAAATCGAGCCAATTGAAAGAATCAAATAAATAATATCCAAGTCAGCAGTTTAAAGATATTATTTTTAACTCTTTTTATTGTGAATTTGAAATCTCAATGTCTAATCTAATCTAATAATATGCATAATATTAATCGTAGTAATTATTAAAAAATCAACTTTTACAAACTAGTTTTTAATGCTCTACATGTTCGAAAGCGTTTGCATTCTCCCTAATGCACAAATTTATTTTTCGTTAAATCTTATTTATAGCTCTTTGAACATATCTTCTTATACTTCCAAATGAATTTTGTAATATTTATTGTAAATGTTGAAATGTATTGATTTTACTTTTACAAACAACGACAAGTAATGCCCTCTCCCTCCGGCCCTTGGCGATTGGCGACAAGTCCAGAAACCCATCTGGCCAATATACTGCTCTACCATTTCCAATCCATCTTCCGGGGAAATGATTTAACTGTTTATGTTATATTTGTATTTTTTATTTTGTATAATTTTTTATTATTTTATTGCATTTGATTTTCTATATTCAATGTTTTACCTCACGTAATTGTTAAGTTTGAAAGCTTATTAATATTGTAACGATGAATAGATTAATTATTTAAAAAAAAACAGAGCCGGACTTGAAATTAGTTTAAATAAATTGTGTTTAAATGTCCGAAACAAAAAAAATATTAAGTGTGGCATATCATTGTATTCAGGCCGAGTTCTTTCAAAACCTGAAATAAAAAATGCAGGTCCGTATTTAAATAAATTAAATTGACCTCTGTATCTCACAAATTATCAGCTAATTTGAAAATCTAAAAATACTATCAAATAGTCCTAATAAAGTGGCTATGAGAATGTGCAAATAGTTTTTTCATTTTCTAAAAAGTAACGACAGAAAAAAATAAAATCGATTTTTAAACAAATCAGGTTTTTCCAAAAAACTCAGCAATCCTTGAGATTTTTAAAACTTTTTTGATGGCTTCTTGGTGAACATTCCAAGGCGCAACTTTGCCCCAATTTAACCATCTTCATATCTATTACGGTTTCCGAGATACCAATGCTCGTACCTCGAATTTGTAGCACCCTGTATTGATTCTCAACTAATAAACAATATTACATATTACAATAATAACACGCTGGTTTCTAGACAAAGACAAAAACCGCCACTTTTTATATCGTCTGTCAGTAAAGTACCAAATACAAGTGTTTATAAAGTTGCCTACCTTAGAAATCCTATGAATGACGCGGTCAACGGCCAATATAAACTATATCTATCGCACCTTAACCTTTCTATACGTAATATACCTTACCTTGTTGGCAGCACGAGCCGCGGCATTTGGAGTTTAATACGTGTAAAACATAGCGGGAACGAATTACAAAATGAAACTTGACCGGCAGTAGAGAAAATGGGTAAAATAAAATGTTTTCAAGCGAAAATTGGATAAATTGGGAATAGTTTTGAATATTTTAGGATGAAAAAAAGTGATTTACAAAAAGTTTAATTTAAAGAAGTTTTTCTAATTTTCTCCTGATTTTTTTGGGGGGGCACTGAGAATTAACGGAGTGACGGAGAACTTGATTTCAAGTTCATTTTATCTACTTAAAAACCGCAAACCAAAAATTTTTTTTTTAAGATTGCAGATTTTGGTTTAGGCAGGACATTTGGAATTCCCGTGAGGATTTACACTCACGAAGTGGTTACTCTTTGGTATAGAGCACCAGAAGTGTTATTAGGTGCCCCAAGATACTCTTGTCCTGTAGATATTTGGTCTGTTGGATGCATTTTTGCTGAAATGTCGACAAGAAAACCCTTATTTCAAGGAGATTCTGAAATAGACCAATTATTCAGAATTTTTAGAGTTTTAAGAACACCAACTGAAGATATCTGGAATGGCGTATCAACTTTACCCGAGTATAAAGCAATATTTCCTAACTGGACTTCGTATACCTTATCCAAGCAAGTAAAGAATTTAGAAGACGATGGTATTGACCTACTTTCAAAGATGCTGATATATGATCCAAGCAAAAGAATATCTGCCAAGTCAGTAGCTTCACATCCTTATTTCAAAAATTTAGACCTCAAAGTTAAACCAACAATTGTAGAAAAAGACAAATAATTGTGATTATTGTAGTGTATTTATTTTTTTTAATAATTAAGCCTTTTTTTAATAATTCCTGTTTTCCAAAGAATTGCAAATTATAAAACTTGTTTCATAAATAAGTTTTATAATAGATTTTGCAATTTATAATTTTAAAACAGAAATTGTTGTTGAATACTTTTCTAAATTAGTAATGTTTTTTATTTGGTTGGGTTAAAATACTGAACTGAATCATAATTTTATTTTTATATTATATATATTTAAGTTTTGAAATAGTTGAAGGTAATTTTATGACTCTATCGCTGATTAATTTGATTCTTTAGTCAGCATTTGTTTTGAATTATATTCTTAAAACAATTAAGGGTAACTTACTCATATATCCACTTTCAACACAGTAAAGATGGAAACATAAAGTATTTAATTCAAGTAGAATTCTAATATTCCTTATTTAAAAAAAGGGAAATATAAATAGTTCAGTCTGTATTAATATATTTTGTTTAATTTTTATTATCGTGATTTTACAATAGTTCAATGTTTAGTGGCCATTTTTAAATGTGCCATTTCCAGTAATTATTTTAAGACAATGTAATATCATTTGGTAATATAAAAATGGAAAATTAGTTTGTTTTATTGGTATAATCGAACTTTATATAGTTTTATACATTAAATTATTTTCATTTACGCCTTGTATTTAGAAGATATATACTATACAGGGTGGTCCGAACTGTATTCCGGAAACTTCGACATCATATTCTGCAGATAAAAATAAGTAAAAACGTTTGTATAAATGTATGTCCTTAAATGCTTAGTTTCGGAGATACAGGGTGTAGAAGTTTCATCCTTATTTCGATTTTTTCCAAATAATTTGTGAAGTAACATCAATATTTGGATGAAAATTGGTGTCTGCAAGTTTTTTGACATGAGTCCTACTTGTAGAGGGCGCTACATATTTTATAACTGGTTTGAAGACTAATAACTTTTCGTCTACTTACAAACTACTGAGTAAAAACATACATTTACGACGTTTTTTACGTAAAAAAGGGTCTTTTGGTAAAAGTCGCTATGATTAATGGTTCTCGAGACATTTGGAATCAAAATTATCAATACCTGTCATTATTGACATAAATTAAACACGTTGACTAAATAGTTGTCAGACTGAAATCATAAATTTGAAATGTTTTTGTGTCAAAAGTTCAACAGAAACTTCTTTATCAACATTTTTCCGCAGAAAAATTTATGATTAATTTAAAAAAATGAAAATTTTCCAAATTTATTATTTCAGTCAAATAATTTTATCTACTCAACGTGTTTATTTTTTTGTCAATAATGGCATGTATTGACTATTTCCATTCTAAATATCTGGAGAACGGTTGATCGTAGCGATTTTTACCAAGAGACATTTTTTACGTAGAAAATCACGGAAATGTACATTTTTCACTCAGTAGTTTTATACAGGTACGGACGAAAAGTTATTACTCTTCAAAACAGTTTAAACACATGTAGGTGGCGCTCCCTACAAATCGGAGTCATATTTGCTGTCCTTCATTCGCGAACTTCAAATTCCAGTGCTTTACGCCCTGGGCTACTAGAGAACAGTTCTGAAAGGAGCTGTGCGCAATAGCCTCATGCCTTCATATGGCGCGGAACAGTTCTAAACTTTATGACTCAGTTGAATGGAGTGAGAGTTTCGCGTTCTTGAACAGTTCAGACCTGCACAACTGCGTGAATGGAGGACAGCAATTTACATCAAAATCAAATTCCTCATGTCAAAAAACTCACAGTCACCAATTTTCATCCAAATATTGACGTTACATTAGAAATTATTTGGAATAAATCGACTTAAGAAATTATCGAATAAACTTTTACACCCTGTATCTCCGAAAGTAAGCATTTTAGGACATACATTTATACGAACTTTTTCACTTATTTTTATCTGCAGAATATGCTGCCGAAGTTTCCGGAATACAGTTCAGACCATCCTGAGTAGTCTGTCCAACAAGATGGGGAAGATTTCAAAAGATGACATCCAAAAAATGGCGATAATACAATTTACCTGTAAATTAAGACAGATTATATAAAGTAATGGATGCTTAACGATTCTTCATTTCAATTTGGTATTTTCGGAGGTTATTCTCATCACCAGTTCGCCTATCTGATAAAAAAATACTTCTGCCTGGGTACCTACTCTTAACATCGTTTGCAACTTTTCGTATAGGCATTATGTGTATTGTTATTTGGCTTCCTCAGAGATGCGAGTGGTCAAGAATAGGCACCATGGCATTACTGGAGATAAATTTCGAAAATAACTTATCACAGAATATCAAAGTATATCATCATCATTCTCAGCTTATTCAACCATTTATGGTGTAGCCTCCCTCACATAATTAGATATTCGCTTTGTAGTTGGGCCCATTGATGTCTATTATTGTTGGTGATTATTGGCTATGCGGGTCCAAGTTATACTTGCTAATTTCCTAATATCATGATTATCATGATTGGGTTATATCACCATATCTTAGGTTTGGTCTTCTCCTAAGTCTCTTAATTCTTCGTGGGTACCATGCGTAATTTTTGTGGTCCATCTGTTGCCCGCCCTTCTTGCCAGGTGTCCTGCCTATTGCCACTTGAGAGATTTGATTCTGTGGATGACATCTATTACCTGAGTCTTTTGTCGTATCCACTCTATAGTCTATTCTTTTATATTTTGTATACATTATACAAGTACTTTGATAATTGGGAATAAAAAGAAAGACCGTTTTTATTCCCAATTATCAAAGTACTTGTATAATGTATACAAAATATACATATGTATATTATATTTACAAAATATATAAGGTGGGCCAAGCCAAGAATAGAACAAGGGTCAGTATCTAATTTACTACAAGTTTCGAAAAACATTAAATATTTGTAGATATCATTGAAGTCCAAACGCCAAATTTCAAATTTTCTAGTAGTAAGAATTATACATTTGTGAAAACTAGTGCCTGGCAGACTCTGGGCGCTTTTTAATGTAGCTCATCAAAATTATATAGGTGTGAATTTATTTTTTGATTCTCTTAAAAGTGAGGGAGTTTAAAATAAAGCAAATTATGAAAACTAAGGTTTTTATTCTGAATTATTTACATCATCCTGAATTTTATCAAAGGTTTCGACCAAATGATTTGGGATTTTTATTTCTTTTAAATTGTCTTCTACTATTTCATCTTCAGTCCTAAAATACATAATATATTAAATTTGAAATTCCTTAAGGTTTTATAGTAATTATCATATTATATAGTTTTTAAATTGTTAGAATTATATTTTTATGAAATTTTTAGGTGTAAAAATTTATATAACACCGTATTCTTTGAAAGATCTTTCTGTTTTAATGTAGCTAAGATTTATAATCCCTATGGATATAGCGAGTGTTTCGGGCATTGAATTTAGACATGTTATTAAATATTTAATACCAAATAGGTATCATTTTTATTGTAGAAAAACTTCAGAGAATTGTAAAGAGGTAAAAATGGTTTCAGATCAACTACAATACAAACCTTATTAATATATCAACTAAATTTTCACACGCTACTAAAGCCTTCTTATCCTGCTCCCATTTATGCAACTCCCGTAAAATCACATAAGTATTTTTATTTCTTATATATTCTCGGTTTATTCTTTTGGAACAGAGTTGTGTTATGGCTTCAAGTAAGATGCACCTATATAAGATAATATATAAACATGTATGCACTTTGTATATTTATTTAAAGTACCTTATGTCTGGATCTTCCTCTCTCACTTTATCATCGGGAAGGTACTGTAAATCCAGTGGTAGTTTATCATTATCTTCTTCGTCGAACTCTTCATTGCCAGCTAAGGGGAGAAGTAATCTGGGTAGAATGTCTACTTCTTCGCTTAGTAACCACTCATGAAAATCAGTTTCAAAGCAGCAGTTCTTTAAAGTTCCTGAAAGATTAGGATATACAAATCAACAAAGATGTAAACTACTTATACAGTTAAAATAATCTTTGTAGATAATACCGTATGATCGAATAAAAACGGCGTCAGCGATGGCTATGAAATGAAGGTCGCTGTCATTTTATATGGGAAATGTCATCGATCGTCATTTCCAAGACAACTGGACGCCATTTTTTTGCGATCATATGGTACTACTATTTTATTATGCTTTCATGGAACGTGTGATAAGAAACAGAGTCAAGTTACCTCAGAAATTACTATCGATGACATTTTATTTTTATATGAAAAATTAAATGATTGTCTATTGTAAGGTAACTTGATGCCGTTTTTTTCAATCACACAGTATATTTATCATAATTAGCTCTATTAGCATAGCACGCCATTACAATAGCATCAATTTGAAGTTTTGTCTGTGTAATAAAAAGCCCACAAAAATGGAATAATTAATTATCAATTGTATATTTAAATTTTCTGTTTAAGTGGTTTGGTTCCAAATATATTTTTGTTGAAAGTTCCTCTTCTTCTGTGTACATTGAATTAAGTATATTAGCACAATTAGGTTGTAAAGTTCACTTAGTTACTTAAATACCAATAAAATAAAAATAAAATGCTCTAGGCTGTGGTCTAGATAAAGAACGTTCTTATTGCAAAGAAAAGAAAAATATCGCTGTTTTTATTTTTTAAGAATTTTAATTCTCAATTATGTATTCCAATTTTCTATTTAAGTGTTTTAGTTCCGAATATTTTTTATGTTGAAAATTATAAGTAAGAACATTGAGAGCACTTAAATTACTTAATTAGAAGGCTTTAAATACCTATTACCTATTATTCCACCTCTTCTAATTAAAGATTTCCTATATCCTGAAAAGGGTAGTAGCCTTTGGATTATACATCTTTCTTTATCTAAAATGTATTTTCTCACTCTGCCACTTTGGGATAGATTTGATAACAATGGACCTAAATAATGTAGATTTGCCTTTTTATTAAACTCTTTTTTTGTAAATATATTTATTAATTCCTCAATTGTTTTTCCACTGTCTTCAAAAATATCAATAGTTTTTTCAAGCAGATGTATTGGTCTTGTTATATTTGATAGTATCATGCAACATTGGTCAGCAATTTTACTATTACTATCGAATATTTGATTTAAACATTGTTTTACAATATCTTCGGGAGGATTCTGTAATGGAGGACAAGACTCTTTTAAATTAAGATCTAAAAGTTTACTGGCGCCTTTTTCATTTGCTGAGATGTTAATAAGTGATAAGCTTGCATCTTGTGCAATGGGCACTGTATTATCATTCAGAAGACATATAAGGGATACTAAGAGTTTTGGTTTATTAATAACAGCCTCTACACCTTCTGTGTTCCCAGTTAATCCTAAAAAATGTTTATAACTGTTTATGATATAGACTCGGACTGGCCACATTCAAAATTTCATTGCAAAATATGGATTTCGAATTTCAAGGGCAGTAAATGCACTCAATATTCAGAAATTACATTTTTACTTTAAATGGGTAGCCTTAATTTTAAACATATTTTTATAAAATAGGCATAGTCGTTACATATAATAGGTATTAGGAGTCTGCATACCCAGCACATGGTCCACAGCAACTCCTTTCAAATCCAACCTTGCACCGATTTGAACAAACTGGAGTAGCTCATCAATTGCTTTTTCCATAATGTTTACTAGGAAGAATAATCTCCACTCTCTCTAAGAATAATTTCCCGAAATTTCTCTACAGTAATTGACCTTTTATTTGAAATTACGAAGAACTTATATACCTATATAATATTCTTGTGCCTTATACCTAGGTAATTGTTTTCATGTTTTCATCTTCTGTAAATAAATGTAAATGTTCGGGTGATGTTAGGCAAATGTTAGGTTAAAGTAGGCAGAGTCAAGGTTTAATAGTAGATTATTTTCTTTTATCTATGGTCAAGGTTAAGTCTGTCATGCATATGTAATGCTGTCCTGTCCGAATTTGATAAGAGTATCGATATGTTGAGCACGTGAATCGATATTGAACGAGTTTCATCCATTGAAGAAAATCATTATACAATGGTTGGATCCGAGTATACGTAGAGTAAATTCGTGGTCACAGATTTTATAAAATATCCATATAAATTTTAAAACATAGTCGGAATTTTAAGCGAAATTTTAATATGTCGATATATCTCTAACATCCCTAACAATAATGTGTCGGAAAGACACAAACGATTCAAAAGAACTATTCTGTGATTTTATCAAATATGTACTTACGTAATCTGTAGCACTTTTGTAAGCAATGACTAAAGTTTGTAAGTAACAACCAGAGATATAGAGATAGTCTATATCTCTGGGCTCTCATCTATGGTGAGGATTTTGTGGTGTAATAAACAGGGATGTGCTTTTAAGCTTTTTTGGCAAGTTAAAATAAATTGGCGTCAAAATATAAATTATTTTTAACGAAAATATTATGTAATATTAACTTAAAAATAGTAAAAACATTTACAAATCTAATAAAAAGACAAATATACTGTAAGATCGAAAAAAACAGCGTCAAGTTGGCTTGGAAATGACGATCGATGATATATTATATAAAATGACAGCGATTTTCATTTCATAGCCATCGTTGACACCGTTTTTTTCCGATCACATTGTACTTGTTTTTATTTTCTAGCTTTCATTTTTTCCTCGTGATAGATAGTAATTTTTCTTTCGTAAATTTAAAGTTTTACAAAAAATATTACTTTGAGTACAAAAATCATTATGAAATAAATTTAATGAATATCAAAAAGGATAATGAATTTTCAAGCATGTAATTCAGGGAGTTTCTCTTGGAATAACGAATTAAATTGTGGGTTTTGCATTTACTATTTGACGAAAAAATAAGCTAAAAAAATAAATTATAATTTATCTCTACTTATTTTTGATATCGTAAGGATTTTTAAGAAAACAAACAACAATTAAGAAAAGAATGCAATAAGTATCAGAACATAAGTCTTTGCGATTAAATAAAGTAAAAGAAAAATACCGAAATAGTGCTGTTTTTGTTTGAAAAAAGGAATGAATTCTCGTCTGAAGCAAATGTGCGGATGTCGGGTCTATATGTCTTTCACTGCCGTCTTACGAGGCGAGAATAAAATGTTTAGAGTTTGCTTGAAACCGGAAAATATTCGTTTTATGGAATTTTATGTGCATAAATAAAGCAGCAACAAAGAATGAACGACGGATATTTATATTCAATGATTAACTTACTACAGCTATTTAATTATATGGTCGGTATACCGTATAATTGAAAAAAACGGCGTCCAGTTGGCTGGGAAATGACGACCGATGACATTTCCCATATAAATTTACATATAAAATTACTGCGATGATCTTCATTTCGTATATTATAGCCATCGCTGACGCCGTTTTTTTTTCGATCATACAGTATAATGTATAGGTTTTTGAATGTTAGCTAAATTATGTATAGAGAAAATGGGGGTAACTCGGAATACAGGGTCCGGCAATAGTGCGTCGCCGGGCATCTGTAGCTCCTAAAATAAAAAAACTTTTTGTTTAAGCGTAAATTTTAATCTGTAAGACTGTAAACCTAAAGTATGTATGAGGTTGTATTTCAGGAAAATACATATAAAAAACTTCTATAGGGTGGTTCAAAAAAGTGTAAAAAGAAATCGGGATTGTTTTTTCTTAAATAAAACGCCCTGTATATTATTGCATTTTTTGGTCTTTTTCAGATCACTTTACATAGTCCTAAGATATGAGTTAATCTATTTCGATAGTTTCAGATCGAGATATTAATAAATAAATAGAAATATACAGGGTGGTCCGAACTGTATTCCGGAAACTTCGGCAGCATATTCTGCAGATAAAAATAAGTAAAAAAGTTCTTATAAATGTATATCCTAAAATGCTTAGTTTAAGAGATACAGGGTGTAGAAGTTTAATTTTTATTTCGGTTTTTTCCAAATAATTTCAGAAGTAAAGTCAATATTTGGATGAAAATTGGTATCTGGGAGTTTTTTGACATGAGAAATTTGATTTTGATGTCAATATGACTCCTACTAGTAGAGGGCGCCGCCTACATGTGTTTTCACTGTTTTGAACCGTAATAACTTTTTGTCCATACCTGGATAAAACTACCGAGCGGAAAAATATACATCTCTGTGACTTTTTACGTAAAAAATATCTCTTTTTAAAAATCGCTACGAGCAACCGTTCTTAAGATATTTAGAATGGAAATAGTCAGTACATGTCATTATTGACGAAAAATAAACACGTTGAGTAGATAGTTATTTCACTGAAATAATAAATTTGAGAAATTTTTATTTTTTTAAAGAAATCATAATTTTTTCTGCAAAAAATAATTATAAAAAAGTTTCTGTTGAACTTTTGACACAAAAACATTTAAAATTTATGATTTCAGTCTAATAACTATTTAGTCAATATGTTTAATTTAAATTATGGCAATGATGACAGGTATTGATAATTTCGATTCCAAATATCTCGAAAACCATTACTCGTAGCGATTTTTACCAAGAGATCTTTTTCACGTAAAAAACGTCGTAAATGTATATTTTTTACTCAGTAATTTTATACAGGTAAGGGTGAAAAGTTATTACTCTTCAAACCAGTTAACAAATATGTAGGTGGCGCCCTCTACTAGTAGGAGTCATATTGACATCAAAATTAAATTTCTCATGTCAAAAAACTCCTAGATACCAATTTTCATCCAAATATTGACTTTACTTCAGAAATTATTTGGAAAAAATCGAAATAAAAATGAAACTTCTACACCCTGTATCTCTGAAACTAAGCATTTTAGGACATACAATTATACGAACTTTTTTACTTATTTTTATCTGCAGAATATGCTGCTGAAGTTTCCGGAATACAATTCGGACCACCCTGTATATACATATATTTCTTTCTTAATCTTCACTAAAAAAAATATTATAAATACAAGGACCGTCCGAACTCAAAAGGGCCATCAGAACTCAGGCCATCTAAAGTAAATACCTAATATAGTTTTGATTTTAGGGCAGTTCTTGTATTTTTATTATTTTTTTTAAGAAAGGCTGAAAAATATATATTTTTTATTTATATATTAATATCTCTGAAACTGTCAAAATATATTTAGAAGATTATGTAAAGTGATCTGAAAGAAAGACAAAAACGGAATAATATACAGGGTGTTCCATTTAAAAATAAATCATCCGGGTAAGTAACCGGGACTGCGTAAAATATAAAGCCGGAAAGTTCTGATTTCTGCCGTACCGAACGCTAGATACAGTCGAAGTTTTAAAAACCAACTAAAATGCATCAAGCCTATGGGCCTTTTGTTTGTTAATTTATACCTCGCTATTATATACGCAATTATATTATAAAGGTATGCAGTTAAAAAAATAAATCAAAATTTTCTACGCTGTACATTTTTTTTCCAATGTATCCACAAAAAAAAGTCAGATAACCATATACGCCTTATGGTGGTATAAGAGTAGGTAAAAAGTCGTTTATTATACTAAAGGGCCAATGTCATGTGTTTGGTTAAATGTCAGACTAATGATATGCTTTCAAGTATACTACTTAAGAATTATGTATACCTGATATGGCTCAGGCTCGTGAGAAAGTAGTTAGTGTGTTGTATTAGAAATTGAATTTTAAGTATGAAATATGTGAAGTTTTTGAAAAAAATATACCTTTTGTTTTCTCTGTACTATCGTTGTCTATATATCTTAAAAATGTGTATATTTTTTTTAAAGTTTGATGCCCCCTAACGGACAAACAAAGCAGTTTTGTATAGAAGTAAATTGTGTCGAATGAACTTATTTTTATTCTAAAAATACGCAGTAGTTCTATGTCCACGGAATATTGGGACACCCTGTATATTAACCAAGGGACTAACTTATTTTTATTTAAAATACCAATGTTGTTGCTCTGGCGAATTTTGTCACATTGACAAAAGTTATAAAAAGAAAAATCATACCGGGTGTTGCATCGTCGGACGGGACATATGAAATCCCATGTAAATTTTAATGGGGTCAATTATTGACTTCCCTAATTATTTTAGAGAATAATTCTATTTAGGTTTATTGAAGAGCACTAAAACCCACATTCAATAGAATAACTTTAGATATTTTTGATTAGCTCGTTTACGAGTTATCGCCGATTTATTTTTAAATAGTTCTCCTTTCTTATGGCCCTGTATTTACTTATGAGCACCAGTCAAGCATATCAGTCAAGGTAAAAGATAACTGTTAAATGTAAGTTGTCATTTCAGAAATTTATCTATTTAGTGCTTTATTATTATCTATGATTATTATTGAAAACTCATTCCTACATCGGAAATCTTAAAGATGTATTTATAAATACAAATTAATATGAATTAAAGTAAAATAAAGTAATCAATTACAAGGTTAATTATAGTATTATTGCAATATTCAATAACTTATTAATTTAGGTAACTACTATTAAATTGTTAGAACTTTAGGATTTAAGAAGATGTTCAAATATTCCTCCATCGCCTGCTAGACCATAACCCAGGCGATCATAAAATTCTCTTCTTACATTCGCTAGTTGGTAAACTGAAATTCTATTGCATTCGGCAGAAATAGCATTTTTTAACTCGTCTAGATTTGGGTATTTTTTATCTTTGTATATCCTGTTTTTTAAATGGCCCCAGAGAAAGAAATCATTTGGCGAAATATCAGGAGACCTTACTGGCCAATTTACTGTATGATTTAGGCCAATAACGTTTCCGTTAAAACTATTGTCTAAATATTCCCGAACAGCCAGGGTACTATGTGCCGGGCAGCCATCCATTTTGTACCAAACGTCCTGATTTTCCCTAGTGGCATCACGTAAAGCAGGTAAAATATGATTTTCGAGTATAATAGTTCCAAATAATATTCT